GCAGTCCCTTCTCCATTTCTCCATCCTGTCGGATTGCCCATGCACAGCATATTTTTCAAGCCCTCAGGCTGGGATGCAAACTGCGTGAGTGGTCATAAGGGATCCACCTGCTGTACGGTTTTGAATTTCTACTTTGTCACTTAATTGCTGTGGCTGTTGGGAGCATGTCATCCTGCCTGCGCCTCAGTTGCCTCATCTGTAAAAGGAGACTCTCAGATTCACCAAGAAGATCAGATGTGAAGTGCTTTGCACATGGCATGAATAACGGACACCTGTAGTGACACACAGGCTTCAGGGTTAGAGGAAACTAACTTCTTTTTGTTGCTATGGGGTGCGTGTGCTCGCCAGAAAGACCGAGAGACAGAAGGTGAGAAATCACCCCCTGGGGGGATGGCCACGCCACAATCCCTTCTCCATTCTCCTCTCAGGATCTTGGACACGCACGCACACGCACCCTGCATGAGTTTAAGCCACCCGGTCTGGTATTCGAACCACGGTCGACTGCATGAGAGTCCAGCGACATAGCCATTACGCCAACTGCGGGTCCTGAGGACACTAATTTCTAAGAAACAGAACAATTCCGGGTACTAGAATGCCTGCAGTGACTCCCATCCGCTAACAGCACATCACTGCAGCCTCTTATCCCAAGTGGGCAGGGGGGACTTACCTAAGGAAGTGACATGCACTTAGCACAGGGGCGACCCGGTGAGCAAGTGGGGAAAGTGTCCAGGCGGAGAGATGGCCCCCGGATTAGAAGGAGCTCAAGTTCTCAAAAATGACAGTTTTCTTGTCCCAGGGCCATCCAAAACGCAATCCCCGCTGCTTGGACCTTATTTATTTATTTATAGAATTATTTTATTCAACTTTATTTATTTACTTATTTAAATTTGACCAGAGAGGGACAGAGTGTGAGAGAGAGAGGGAGGGAAAGTGAGAAAGCAAGCTGCCAGGTCTGGGACTAGGGCCTCATTTATTGCTCAGATGTTTTGAGTGCCTGCCTGGTCTACCAGATACGGGGCTGGGCTCTGAGGTGAGAGATTTAAATACAGCCCTTTGTCTTGGCAGCCAGGTTCTAAGCATAGCCGTGGGAGAGGTGAGGAGTACAGAGATACCCAGGGCAGAAGGAATAGCCTTGATGGAGAAGGCTGGGAGGGGTGGTGCATGGAGGGCTTCTTGAAGGAGGCAGTCTGGACCAGGTGAGCATGATGTGTGTGAATGTGGGCCTGCAGGGTGGGGCACACTCCAGCAGAGGCTCAGCATCATTGCAAGGCCTGCAGTGAGCGGAAGCAATGGAGGGAGCAGGGAGGGAGATGGGGTGGTGGTCAGAGAAGGGCTGGAGATGGGCCGTCCTCAGACAGTAGCCTGCTTTGTTCTCTTACCTGGCCCCCAACAGGCCTGGAGGGGGCCTGGAGCAGGCCTAGTGGGTGGGTGCCGTCCCTGCCTTCATAATCTGCTTCCAGGTCACACCCCGTTTCTCATGAACCCAGCCCCTTTGAAGTACATGACGTGGACTGACCATGCGCCCTTCCTCCCAGGGCATCACCTGCGGAGAGTCTCCCAGTTCCCCCTCAGCGCTGGCTCACTGCATCCCCTCCACCTCCTGGCTCCCATCTGGAGGTTTCTGCAGCCTGGCCGCTCCTGTTCCTTGGTCCTCCCCACCCTCCTGTGCTGTGAGCTTCCACTACTGTGTCACTCCAGCATCCTGCATTCAGGCGCCCTTCCTGCCCTCCGCCCTCTGCCTTCTGTCTCCAGGCTTATGCCGGCGTGCCTCGTCCAGCAGGGCTTTGCCCCATCACTTCGTCACTGCCGTACAACCCCCACCTCTCTCCTCTTCCTCCCTTTGTTTGTTTCGTTTTGTTTTGGTTTTTGCTCTCGGGCATGTGATATGTGTGTTGGGGGGAGAAGACAGAGAGAGAACATGGGAAATCACCCCCCAGGGTGAACCGCCATGTAGCAACCCCTTCTCTGTTCTTCTCTCAGGAGTTTGGGCACACAGGCACATGCACCTTGTGTTCAAGCCAGGTCCGGGACTCAAACTGCGTGGCAGCCATGTGAGATCCAGCCACCGTAACCTCCATGCTGCCTGCCGGCCCTCTTCCTCCCTTTCTGAACTGAGTGTAGCTTCAGTGTCCTGTCCTTGTTATACTTGTGTTCCTTTCCCCCTCCTCTCTAGAAGAGCCTCGCTCTGCTCACCTGCATAGCCTAGCTCAGAGGGCTGAAAGTGGCTGGAGAAAACTGCAGACTGGCTCCATTTCAGATTCCAGCCCGAGTAGCTCTAGTGGACTGAGCACTAGAAACCCTGCCTTTCCCCCGGTCAGTTTGGTTCCCAGCATCCGTCTCTGCAGGCTGACCCCATGCTTCTCACTGGCGACCTGGTTCATGTCTCATCACCAGGTCTGTCCACCTCTTGACTCAGTACCCACTTCCTTGCCATCGTCAGTGTCCAGTTCTGCTCCTCCCTCGGCTGCAGACACACAGGTGCCTCGCCTTCACAGCACCTCCAGTCGGTATCTTAGACTTTCAGCCAAATTCAGCTCTTGACTGGATCTCTAAAAACCACCTGTCCCCAAGTCCCCATCTCAGCAAATGGCGTACTGTTCACTCAGCTGCACAGAACCTCGGAATCACCCTTAACTTCCTTCCCCCACATTCCACATCCGGTCCTCAGCAGCTATCAGAAGGCTGCTCGCGGCTCCCCTCATCGTACAGGTCACTCCTCACTCCTCGGGCGTTGCAGGTCTCTGGCTGCCTCCCTGCCGTGGTCCCCTGCAGGCTCTTCACACACCAGACAGTGCTCAGTAAAAATCCCATCAGGCTGTGCCAGCAGATGGTGTGGTGGGTAAGGCACTGGATCCCACATGGCCAACTGTGCAGGTCATGGCTTGAAAAACATGCTAGGTGCGTGTGCATGCCCAGAATCCTAAGAGGGAATGGAGGAGAAGGGACTGCAGCATGGCCATCCCCTCAAGGGGTCATTTCTCTTTTTCCTTTTCTCTCTCTAGCAAGTGTGTGTACTTTATAGCAAAATAATTAAAAACCTGTCAGACTGGGCCAGCCTGCTCCTCACTCCTGTCTCCAGGTTCCCTGTCACGCTCACACCTGCGTCTGAGACGCTCACTGGCTCTGCAAGGCCCACTTGTCCTGGCCTCACTGCTTTCCATGACTTCAGCATTGTTTCCTGTAGCAACACCCCAGTGCCCTCGTGCTGTCCAGCCCGTCCTCCTGGGACCCGTGCACTTGCAGAGCCCCTGTCCCCAGCTGGTGGGGGTGCCCACTCTGCTCAGGTGTCAGGGTCTTGGTGGGACCTCTGACCATCCTGCCGAAAGAACCCCGGGCCTATCTCTTCCAGGCTCTGTCCCTTTCCTTGCGTATTTCCTTCACATCCGAAATGTTTTCAACTTCTTTTTTTTATTTTTAAGAATTATTTACTTATTTATTCATTCATTTATTTTAATTTGACCAGACACACACACACAGAAAGCAAGCTGCCAGGTCCAGAACATGAACCATAGTCAGCCATGTGGGAGTGTCCAGTGTCTTAACCACCACGCCACCTGCTGGTTCCCAGAAATGATTTCCACTTCTTCAGTGAGTGGGTGTGAGCACCCACAGTGTGCCAGGGAATCCCTGGGGATGCCAGGGGAACACGTGTCCTCATGGAAGCAGGGCATGGGCTGCGGAGCAGTGAGCACACACACTCACGTGGTGCAACCAAGAAGAGAAAGCCACGTGAAGGGGTGGGGAGGGCTGACCTCTTAGAAAGGGTAGCCTTTAGGCAGAGACCTGAATAAGCTGTGGGAATGGGGAGGAAGGGCATAGAGGCAGAGGGAACAGTAAGTGCGAAGTTCCAGAAGACAGGTGTAAAGGTGGCTGCTAGTACTTGGGGTGGCGGGGTGTGTGTGTGTGTTCAAGTCTACAGAATGAAGGGGAATGTGGGCAGGCGGCCGGCCCGTGGTAGAAGGCTTTGAGCATGAGGTCTGAGGAGTCTGGCCTGTGTCTGGAGGGCGTCTACGCAGGAGGGCAAAGACTACTTGTTCCTAGTCTAGATCCTGGACTGAGTGGAGAGGAAACAGATCATCTCCCCTTGGGAGATGCAACCGCCGGACGAGGACAGAGGGAATGGACGAGGACAGAGGGAATGAGCATGGGAAATGCCCAAATTTAAGTTTCCTGACATGTGTTCAAATAATTCGAATCAAATGCACCAGTAGAAAAAAATGTGCGGTTACAGAGTTGTGCATTCTTAGAACTGGAAGAGATCTGATAAAGTCTCTGGGTTTCAGTGATTGACATGAGCAGGTGCAATGAGTGGCGTGGTTAGTATTATAGCCCAGACTTTAATTCCTCTGGGGTTCTGGGCAACTAGCTGGGCTAGTGCCTGGGAGGTGGCCACAGAAATGGCTGCCCAGGGACACCTGGGGAAGGGTGGCAGGGAGTGTAGAAAGAGTTAATTTTGACTGTAGCCATTGTATTTCCTAGTATTGGTGACAAATTACCATGCATTTAGTGGCTTAGAACAGCATAAATTTATTATCTTACAGTTCTGGAGGTCAGGAGGCCAATCTAAGTCTCTCTGGGCTAGAAGCAAGGTGTTGGCAGGGCAGATTCTTTCCAAAGCTCTCAGGGAGATTCCATTCCTTCCTTTTCCAGCTGCTAGAGGCTGCCCACCCTCTGGGCTCACTACCCTTCCCTTATCTTCCATGCCTTCCGTGGTGGGTTGTCTGGCTCTGTCTCTTTGACACTGACTCTCCGCCTCCCTTTTTCCCCTGTGAGAGTCTTGGGTCCACCTGGGTAATCCAGGATAATCTGGTTGAAGGTTAGCAACCTTAATTCCACCTGCAACCTTAATTCCCTCGGCCAGGAAACCATATGTAAACAGGTTCTGGGATTAGGGTGTGGATATCTTGGGGCCCTTATTCTGCCCATCATAGCCACCCTCCTGTGATTTCATGAGTGGTTGAGATGAAAGCTTTTGTCTTACGTTTTTGCCTTGTAGACATCTCTGCTGTGAGAATTACCAGTAACAGTTCGGTATGGGCGATATTCTGGCTCACGAATCTGAATTACTTGGCCTAGTGAAAGAGGTAGGTACGTTACACCAAACGCAGGTCCCAGAAAGAGCCGGGGAACTGGTGTTTCCATGCAGCGCTCTTTAATGCCTGGTGACATTTCTTCTGTCATTACATTGCAGCTCTTCATGTACTTTGCATTGATGATTTTTCCATGTGTTTATATATTTTGTTTTAATAACTAATCTGAAATCTTTTTTTTTTGGAGAGGTTTTTGCTATAGGGCACATACACTCACCAGAAAGACAGAGAGAGACAGAGAGACAGAAAGCGAGAAATCACCCCCAGGGGGGATGGTCATACCGCAATCCCTTCTCCATTCTCCTCTCTGGATCTTGGGCATGTAAGCACATGCGGCTGGCGTGAGTTTAAGCCACTGGATCCGGGACTCGATTTGCAGTCAACTACATGGGAATCCAGTGACATAGCCATTACGCCATCTGCTGGGCCCACTAATCTGAAATCTTAAAGCCACTTGACAGTCCTTTGAAGAACATTATGAAAGCAGCATGTGTTCCTGGTGAAGGGTTAGAGCACCATAGATGTCTGTAAGCGAATGTCCCTGCTCTGTGCTTCCCACAGTGACCACCGTTAATAGCGTAGTAGGCTGTTGTCCCGACTTTTCTGTGAATACTTGTACAAACTCTATAGTTTGTTTTCCAAAACAGGGTAATACCATAAATATTCTGTAGCTTGTCTTTTTTTTTTTTTTTCCCTAAACTTTTAAATATTTTTTAAGAGACAGCGTGAGGGATTTGGATTCAAATCCCTGCTCCCATGTCTTGAAAAACATGCCAAGAGCATCTGCATGTGTGTCCAGAATCCCAACAGGATGGAGCAATGGAAGAGAAGAGACTGCGACTCCCTGGAGTGTGACTACACCCATTGGGTGGAGTGCTTCCTCCTCCTCTCTCTTTTTCTAAGTGCATATCCCTTTGGTAATTAAAAGTTTATTTATATGTGTGTATATTACAAGGATTCCCTTTTCACATCCTTGTCAACAGTTGTCTTTGTGTGTGTGTGTGTGTGTGTGTGTGTGTGTAATTTGCTGTAGGGAGTGTGTCCTTTCCAAATATAGTCAAAGAGGAAAAGGGAGAACAATTCCTTTTCCGTTTTCCTCTTGGGATTTTGGACACATACTCTTGCCCAGTGTGATTTTCAAGCCATTGGGTCTGGGACTTGAACTGCTCAGCTGGTATCCAGCTGCCTTAACTTCCATACCACCTGCTGGTCTAAGTTATCTTTTTTTTTGAGGAAGGGTTTTGGTATGTTGCAGTCTTCCTGCTGCAGCCTCCCGAGTTAGCTGGGGCCACAGGTGTGTGCCACCATGCCCAGCTCTTTTTTTGGAGATAGTTTTTGCTCTGAGGTGTGTGCACTTGCCGGAAAGACATACAGAAAATGAGAAATCACCCCCCCCCCACCAGGGGGAATGGCCATGCCACAGTCCTTCATTCTCCTCTTGGGCTTTTGGGCACACACATACATGTGCCTGGTGTGAGTTTCAAGCCACCAGGTTGGGACTCGAATCATTGTTGGCCATGTGGGAGTCCAGTGACGTAACCGTTATGCGGTCTGCTGGTCCCCCATGCTCCGCTTTTGAGGTGGGCTGGGACTCCAGTGCAGGCCTTCTGTGAGCCTCAGAGTCACACCTTGCCAGTGCACTGCTGCCGCTGCGTCCTTTTGTTATTCGATGGTAGCTGTTCTGACAGGTGCTCGGTGATACCTCATTGTGGTTTTGATTTGCGTTTCCCTTTGACTAGTGAGATTGAACATATGTTCATTGCTCTGCGGCCCTTTGTATTCAATATATGTTCTTTGGAGGAATGTCTGATGACTTTTTTGCTGCTGAGTTGCTTATGTTCTCTTTTACAGTATTTAGATTTTGCTGAATTTGAAGACACTTTGAAAACATTTTCGAAAGAATGCAAAATAAAAGGAAAACCAGTATGTAGGACAGGTGGATCTTTAAGAGACTCCAGGTCACTAATAATTCAGGTAATGTTTTACTTATTTTTCACCTAGATAGTGGTTTTTTTTTTTTTTGGAGAGATTTTTGCTATAGGGCGCATGCGCTCGCCAGACAGACAGAGAGAGACATAGAGACAGAAAGTGAGAAATTACCCCCTGGGGGTATGGTTACGCCGCAATCCCTTCTCCTCCATTCTCCTCTCGGGATCTTGGGCACACACGCACATGCGCCCGGCGTCGTGCGCCGACCCGCTCATGGGCCCGGCGTGAGTTTCAAGCCACCGGGTCCGGGACGCGAAACGCGGTCGACTACGTGGGAGTCCAGCGACATAGCCATTACGCTAACTGCTGGTTTCCTCACCTAGATAGTTAAGGTGCTCCTAACTCATAAAAACTGCTGCCCATCAGAGTGCCAGAATTGTTTCTGGGCACTTTCGAGAATCCACAAATGTTTATTTATAAATTCATAGCATCATTCTTTCTTTTCTTTTTTTAAAAATTTATGTATTTAATTTTACTTATTTATTATTATTCTTCCATTTGACCAGAAAGAGCAAGCTGCCAGATCCAGGGCTCAAACCATCACTGGCCCTGTGGAAGTCCAGCGCCTTAACCACCATGCCATCTACTGGCCCATAGCATCATCCTTAAATCTCTATGCCCTTCCTGGGAAGTGTGTGGTCATGTAGGATTTCCTCATATACATTTCTTTGGAAGAAGAGGAAACTCCGAGTTTAGGAACCAAGATAAATGTAATCCCCATCCTAAGCCACTGTGAGTTGTTCATTTTAGGCAGGGGGGATATGGCAGTGGACAAAACAAAACGAGTCTCTGCCGGCACAGCGCCCACATTCAGAGGCGGGGAGTTGGAGGGTGTGACAGGGAGCGAGACTGGCACTGACAAGGCAGAGGCCTTGGGAATACCAAGAAACAGAGCGGGCACTGAGGTTAGAGAGGCCCCGGCTCTCAGGGCTGGGCAGGCTGTCCAACCGTGATTCCACATCTCAGTCCCATTTGTAACACTCTGGGTGAGTGATCAGGCCACCGCGGTATTTCCAGTGATGACACACCCTTTTCCCAGGCAGCATATTCCACCTTTGGATGACCTTGCTGTTTTATCAGATTTCTGTATCTCGTTATACCTGTCTCCAAAAATAACTTGAGTCTGCTTTGTGGGCCTCCCTCCCACCAGAGGTGGAGTTCAGGCCAGAGCCACTTTCTGTCTTCTTTCTCCTAGTCTCAGCTTCCCGGTGGCCTGGCAGGAGCACTGTGGAGCAGGGTGTTGGCAGGGTAGCCATGGAGCTCCAGGGGGCTGTGCCCTCTGCCTGCTCCTCTCTGGGCCTTGACATAGCAGCTCTCCCAGATAGCAGCCAGAGCCACCCAGGCCTGGAGCCAGTTGTCAGAACATAATGGAAAAAAATAGTTGTTATTAGAGGTAGGAACAGGCGGTTGGTCAGCGCAAAGCGTGCTCTTCACGAATTAGCCTCCCTCCCCAGCAGCTGATTTCCCCGGCTCCTTCTGGAAGGGCTTTGCCCTGCACATTGGAAGGGTATGTGATTATCTGTCAGTCAAAGCTCAGGTGTCAGAGGAATGTACCAAGTCCTGATGCCCGACCAGCAGAACAGTGACAGGGATAGTGTGTGTGTGTTTTAGATTTTGTCAGAGGGCACATGCTCTCACTGGATAGGACGGTCTTTGTGTGGCATGCGCTGTGGCAGAGTATGTGATCGGACAGCACCAGCACGCTCTGCCTTGCAGCGTCTTTGCTATCTGGGGCCTGCGAGGCGCCTGCTGCACACTGTTGGTGACAGGTTTGCCATCATGTTTCAGCCCCAGCTGCATCTGAGAATGCTTAAGGGTCTCTTGGGGTCTTTTTATTCCCTCTTAATTGTGCAGCGTATTTCACTTTTGGACGACCTTACTGTTTTATCAGATTTATTTATCTCATTATACCTATTTCCAAAAATAACCTAACGGGCCAACAGGTGGTATGGTTAAGGCATTGGACTTTCACATGGCCAAGTGCAGTTCAAGTCCCAGACTTGGGCAGCTTGAGAATCATACCAGGGGCCGGGGGGGCTGGCAGGTGGTGTCGTGCGTGGTTAAGGTGCTGGACCTCCCACATGGCTCACAGCGGTTCAAGTCCCAGTTCTGGCAGCTTGATTTCTCACTTTCCCTCTCTTTCTTCTCTGTCTCACTCTGGTCAGATTTAAAAATAATGATAATAATGATGCATAAATAAATAAAATAATTCTTTATAAAGATAAAATAATGCTGGGCATGTGTGCATGCATGCCCCAACTCCTGAGAGAATAAAGAAGGGATTGCAGCGTAAGCATCCTCCCTGAGGGTGATTTCTCACTTTCTCTGTCCCTTTCCAGTGAGCACATGTGCCCTATGGCAGAGACCTAAAAAAACAAACAAACAAACAAACAACTATGCCATCTTAACTTTTTGTTGTTAAGTTTTGCTATAGGTCATGTGCACTTGCTGGAGAGAGAGAGAGACAGAAAGCAAGAAACCACCTTCTGGGGGGATCTCGGGATTTTGGGCATGCATACATCTGTGCTCAGCATGAGTCTTAAGCCACTAGGTACAGGACTCAAACCTTGGTCAACTACCTGGGCGTTCAGCGAGGTAACCATAACCCCATCTGCTGGCCCCATCTTAACCATTGTTAGGTGTAAAGCTCAGTGATGAAATAAATTTACATTGCTGAGAAACATCTCCGGAACTCTTTCACCTTGCATCTGTTTTTTTTCTATCTCCCTAATCCTTGGCCCCCACTATTCTGCTTTCTGTGAATTAGACTACTTCACATGCCTGGTGTAGGTGCACACATACAGTATGTACGTATGTATGTATGTATGTATGTATGTATGTATTTATATTTGGAGAGGTTTTTGCTATAGGGTGCGTGCGCTCACCAGAAAGACAGAGAGAGACAGAGAGCGAGAAATCACCCCCCAGGGGGGATGGCCATACCACAATCCCTTCTCCTCCATTCTCCTCTCAAGATCTTGGGCATGCACCCACATGTGCTTGGCGTGAGTTTAAGCCACCGGGTCCAGGACTCGAACCGTGGTTGACTACATGGGAGTCCAGCGACATAGCCATTACACTAACTGCTGGTCCCCATACAGTATTTATTTTTGTGTGTGTGCCTGGCTTGTTTCCCTCAGCACCTTCTCAAGGTTCATTCATGTTATATGTGACAGGGTTGCCTTCCTTTTGAAGGCTAAATAATATTCCACTGTATGTCTGTTCCACATTTTGCTTATCCATTCTTTTTTCCATCATTGGGCACTGGAGTTACTTCCACCTTTTGGCTGTTTCCTGGTCCTGCTGTGAACATGGGTATACAGATGTTTCTTCAGGACCCTGCTATTAATTCTTTTGGGTGTATACTCAAGAGTGGGGCTGCTGGGTTGTGTGGTAGTTTTATTTTTAATCTTTTAAGGAATTGTAACTGCAGTGGCTACACCATTTTGCTTTTCCACCAGCAGTGAGAGTTCCAGTTCCTTCACATATCACCAACACTTTTTTTTTTTTTCAATAGCCTTCCTAATGGATTTAAACTGGTATCTTTTTTTTTTTCCAGTGAGCACATGTGCCCTATGGCAGAGACCTAAAAAAACAAACAAACAAACAAACAACTATGCCATCTTAACTTTTTGTTGTTAAGTTTTGCTATAGGTCATGTGCACTTGCTGGAGAGAGAGAGAGACAGAAAGCAAGAAACCACCTTCTGGGGGGATCTCGGGATTTTGGGCATGCATACATCTGTGCTCAGCATGAGTCTTAAGCCACTAGGTACAGGACTCAAACCTTGGTCAACTACCTGGGCGTTCAGCGAGGTAACCATAACCCCATCTGCTGGCCCCATCTTAACCATTGTTAGGTGTAAAGCTCAGTGATGAAATAAATTTACATTGCTGAGAAACATCTCCGGAACTCTTTCACCTTGCATCTGTTTTTTTTCTATCTCCCTAATCCTTGGCCCCCACTATTCTGCTTTCTGTGAATTAGACTACTTCACATGCCTGGTGTAGGTGCACACATACAGTATGTACGTATGTATGTATGTATGTATGTATGTATGTATTTATATTTGGAGAGGTTTTTGCTATAGGGTGCGTGCGCTCACCAGAAAGACAGAGAGAGACAGAGAGCGAGAAATCACCCCCCAGGGGGGATGGCCATACCACAATCCCTTCTCCTCCATTCTCCTCTCAAGATCTTGGGCATGCACCCACATGTGCTTGGCGTGAGTTTAAGCCACCGGGTCCAGGACTCGAACCGTGGTTGACTACATGGGAGTCCAGCGACATAGCCATTACACTAACTGCTGGTCCCCATACAGTATTTATTTTTGTGTGTGTGCCTGGCTTGTTTCCCTCAGCACCTTCTCAAGGTTCATTCATGTTATATGTGACAGGGTTGCCTTCCTTTTGAAGGCTAAATAATATTCCACTGTATGTCTGTTCCACATTTTGCTTATCCATTCTTTTTTCCATCATTGGGCACTGGAGTTACTTCCACCTTTTGGCTGTTTCCTGGTCCTGCTGTGAACATGGGTATACAGATGTTTCTTCAGGACCCTGCTATTAATTCTTTTGGGTGTATACTCAAGAGTGGGGCTGCTGGGTTGTGTGGTAGTTTTATTTTTAATCTTTTAAGGAATTGTAACTGCAGTGGCTACACCATTTTGCTTTTCCACCAGCAGTGAGAGTTCCAGTTCCTTCACATATCACCAACACTTTTTTTTTTTTTCAATAGCCATCCTAATGGATTTGAAGTAGTATCTTTTTTTTTTTTCTCTTTTTTCTAGAGAATGGCCTTGCTGTGTTGCCCACGCTGGCCTCAAACTTGAAATCCTCCTGCCTCAGCCTCCTGAGTACTGGGATTACTGAAGGGATAGTGTGTGTGTGTGTGTGTGTGTGTGTGTGTGTGTTTTAGATTTTGTCAGAGGGCACATGCACTCACCAGATAGGATAGAGAGAGAGATGGAAAATGAGAAATCATCCTCTGGGGGGATGGCCATGCTCCAATCCCTTTTCCTCCACTCTCCTCTCAGGATTCTGGGCATGTACACACACGTGCCCTACATGAGTTTTAAGCCATTGGGTCTAGGATTTGAACCACGGTTGGTCATGTGGGAGCCAGCCGTGGTGACGCCACCTGCCAGCCCCTCTTGTGGTTTTGATGGGTATTTTTCCAAAGTCTTCAAGTACATTTTTTTCCTCCAAATTATCCCATAAGAAGAATTTTATTGGTTACTTTATTCCCTCATAAAAAGACGAACTGTAATCAAATGAGGGAACATCCACCTCAAGCTTTTACTGTCTTCATAATAAAACGAAAGGGGAAGCTTAGAACTAGATCTCTTGACCCTTTCTCTTCTTGTCTCCTCATAGTTCAGAATGCTCGTGTGTCTTAATGGCAGCATCCCCTCAGACCTGCAGTTGGGCTCAGCACATTCGAGCTCAGCGCGATCTGCTTGGTAGTTTGGACCTTGTTCCAGAAAACAGGCTCAGTCTGTTCACCACAGCCGCCCTGCTTCCTGTCAGAACACTGCTTTCCCTGAGCATACCGAGAGTCCTTGCCCTTTCTGTGCTGTGTCACCGGATGAGGCTGATGCTTGCCAGGCTTCTCGCGGAAGGTCCAGTGGATTTTAGGAACGTTCACGGCATCGTGAGTGCGTTACTGGCACAGAACGCTTCAGGTCCGTTGTAATATGACTTGGAAGACCTGAAGCTTTCTGATTGTCACATGCAATCACCTCATCAACGGCGTCCACTGTGGTAGATTTCCCAAACAAAAATGCCTGGAGCTGGGGTTCAGCAAATGTGTTGAGCGAGTGGTGGTAGCACTCAAATGGTGAGTTTCTGGGCACAGTTCTGTAAGAAGTGTGTGTGCGTGTGCGCGTGCGGGCATTATTACACAGTGGTGGTGTGTGCACTTCCTCGTCCCAGTGTTCTGGCTGAGACCCTGGCTCACAGATCATTAGCACTTTGTGACCACAGGAACTGAGCAGTGGGCTGCGTTACGTGAAGGTACCATTGTAAGTGCAGGGATATTTCCAGGCCGGGAGACGAGCCAGGAGCTGGGATGAGTGTGATGATGGTGACATGGCACAGGTCTGTGGTTGCAGGTTTACACACAGAATTGAGAACAACTGGATGGACCTTTGGACATCTGGATCCTGCCAAGCCATGTTAAGAAAACACCCAACTCAAGATTTTTTGCCTTTTTAAAAAGAGGTTTCTGTCTTAGGGTGCGTGTGCTCGCCAGAGAGCGAGACGGAGAGAAAGTGAGAAATCACCATGGAGAGAGGATGGCCACACCACAATCCCTTCTCCTGCATTCTCCTCCTGGATTTTGAGCACACATCCACATGCACCCAGTGTGATTTTAAAGCCACTGGATCTGGGCCTTGAACTGCAGTTGGGAGTCCAGCAGTGTAACCGTTACACCATTTGCTTGTCTCCAATTTTTTTTTTAAAGAGATTTTTGCTATAGGGCATGTGTGCTTGCCAGAGAGACAGAGAGACAGACAGAAAGTGAGAAATCATACCCCCCTCCCCAGGAGGGTAGATGGCCATGCCACAGTCCCTTCTCTATTCTCCTCTTGGGATTTTTGGGCACACACGCACGTGTGCCCAGCATGAGCTTTAAGCTCCCAGGTCTGGGACTTGAGCTGCAGTTGACCACGTGGGGGTCCAGCAATGTAACCATTATGCCATCTGCTGGTCCTGCAAGATTTTTTTTTTTTTTAATAGGTTTTTTGCTATAGTGTGCCAGTGCTTACCAGTGAGGCAGAGATAGAAAGTTAGAAATTACCCCCCAGGGACATGGCCATGATGCAGTCCCTTCTCCATTCTCCTCTTGGGGTTTTAGGCACACATGTACACGCGCCCAGCGTGAGTTTGAAGCTGCCAGGTCTAGGACTTGAACCGTGGTTGACTACGTGGGAGTCCAATGATATAACCATTACACCATTTGCCGGTTCCCGATTTTTTTTTCTCAAGTTTTTGCCAGAGGTGCTAGGTGAAGAGTGAGAGAAGTGAAAAAGCACACCTCCTTCACCTCCTTCACAGGGCCTGGCCACTCTGCATTCCCTCTTCTTTCTTTCCTCTTTCCTTTCAGGATTGTGGGCATGTATATATACACACCCAGCGTTTTTCTAAGTTGCTGGTCCAAGACTTGAACTACACAGCCGTGTGGGATCCAGCTACCTTAACCACCATGTTACCTCTTGGCCCAAGAATATTTTTGTAATATTCACATTTGAAGGTTTTCTATTTTTTTAAAATTCATTCGTTTATTTTAATTTGACCAGAGAGAGACACAAAGGGGTGTGGAAAGTGAGAAAGCAAGCCACCAGGTCAGGACTCGAAGTGTGGTTGGCCATGTGGGAGTGTCCAGAGCCTTAACCACCACACCACCTGCTGGCCCCGGAAGATTTTCTGTTAAGGAATATCTTTGACTTAAGTATCACCAAACACTGTAACATTTATTCTCTGTACGTTTCCATTATATAATGTTAAGGTCAGTTATAAACAGATGCAATATGTAACCTAAAGCAATTTTAAAGGAAGAATTATACAGGAAAATTATGCATAAAATCATTTTTTAAAAATTATTTAATTTTATTTATTATTATTTTTAATTTGCTGTAGGATATGCATACTCACCAAAGAGAAAGAGAGAGCATAAGTGAGAAAGCAAGCCACCAGGTCCAGGACTCAAACAGTGATTGGCCATGTGGGATTCTAGCACCTTAACCACCATGTCACCTGCTGGCTCCAACATAAGACTTTTATTTTTATAAATTTATATATTGATTTAACTTTATTTCTTCTTCTTATTCATTTTTTAATTTGACCAGAGAATGCAAGAAAGAGAGAAAGGGAAAGTGAAAAAGCAAGCTACTGGGTCCAGGACTTGAACCATGGTTGGCCACGTGGGAATTGAGTGCGTTTCCTGCCACGTGGGAGTCCAGTGCCTTTACCACCACATGCTGGCCTTCATAGAACCATTTTTAAAAATATAAAAGAATAATAGCCGGGACCAGCAGTTAGCGTAATGGCTTTGTCGCTGGACTCCCAAATAGCCGACCACGGTTCGCATCCCGGACCCGGTGGCTTAAACTCACGCACGGCGCATGTGTGTGCATGCCTGCCCAAGATCCCAAGAGGAGAATGGAGGAGAAGGGATTGCGGTGTGGCCATCCCCCCTGGGGGGTGATTTCTTGCTTTCTATCTCTCTGTCTCTCTCTGTCTGTCTGGCAAGCGCACGCCCCCTATAGGAAAAACCTCTCCAAAAAAAAAAAGAATAATAGCCAAGTAGTGGTGAATACAGGTGGTGTTGGGTGTGGAACTGGTGAGTCTGCAGAAAATCCAGTCTAGAAAACTTTTGCAGTCCAGCACGACGCAGGTCCAAGTGTCGGGCATGTGGTACAAACGGCAGTCAGGGGCATGTCGTTTTGGACTGTTGGGAGGGTCTTTCAGGTCTGCCTTGTACCTAAGCCCACGACATCGCACAGGTGGTCCTTGGGATGAGTCAGTTTTCGCGCTTCTGAGGCTTTCTCCTAAATTCTCTCATTCGGGCATTGCCTGGTGGATCGGGAAACTGCCCTTGTTCCACAAGGACTCCCACGGCCCTGCAGCCGGAACAGCGCCCAGCTGTGCTCCTGCATCCTCTCTGTGCCCCTCATCACTGTGCCTGAGGGCACAGGCAGTCACCTGCCGTGCTGGCGTCACGGCTTCCCACAGTGCCATCTCTGCCGGCCGGCTCCTGTCCACAGAGCCAAGTGGCAGTCCCGCCCTAGCCAGGGCCAGCTGGGCAAGGATGCTTGTGCTCCCAGCCGCAGCGTCTGCTTGTGAGGCTGCTCCCCTGAGGCGGGGCGGGGCTGCTGGTGTGCCCCACGCTTCTTGGTGGCTTGCCGGGGTCAGCAAGTCCATAGGGTGACCTTGGGGTATAGTGGCCCTGTCTTTGCCTTATTCACGGTCCCTTTCAGGTCAAAGGCCTGAAATGTTTTTGTCAGTTCTTCACAGTGTCCAGCTTTGGTGTTGCGGGGGTGGGAAACCAAGGTTGGTCTGCGAGAATCTGCTGCAGGAGTGGGAGCCCGCCCAGCTCTCTGCTCTGTCCTTGCTTCTGGAAAGGCGTCTGCTCTGTGCTGTTGGGAGGCTGTGAGGACTGGCTGTCGGGAGGGTGACCAGGACCGTGTGCTGTCTGCTCCACAGAAGGAGCTCCTTGCTGCCTTCGACAGCGGAGAGCAGAAGGTGTTCTTCGATCTGTGGGACGAGCACATTCCCAGGTGTGTCCGCGAGGGCGACTCCCTTGCCCAGAAGTTGGAGTTCTACGTCCACATCCATTTCGCCATCTATCTACTGAAGCACTCTGCCGGGAGGCCGGTAAGTTCACCGGGATTCCATCGTACAAACGGTATGTTACAGGATGTTAGTTGTTAATTTCCAAAAGATCGTTTATATAGTTTTGTGACCACTTTATCATGTTGCTTGCAAGGCATGGGCATCTTAGGGCCTGATGAACTTTAAGTTTATTTTGTATTTGTAGTTTTTGCTGTAAGGTGTGTATACTTGTCAGAGAGACAAAGAGAGAAAGAATGAGAAATCAACCCCCTGCTGGTGGAGGCGGGGAATGGCCACACCACAGTCCCAGTCTTGGGACTTTGGGCATGCACCCACACTGCCTGGTGATTCTTAGTCTGCCAGGACTGGGAGTTGAACCACAAAGCTAGCCGGGTGAAAGTCCAATGCCTTAACCTTCATGCCATCAAGTTTATTTATTTTTCCTTCCATGAGTGAGAGGGAGACAGAGCACACCCACTAGACTCTTGACTCCGCAGTCCCCCCAGCCTTGCTAGCCAGCTTCATGGGCATGCCTGTGCCCAGTGTACTGGGGGAGCTGGGGCTGGAGGTGTGGGGAGAGGAGACGACTGACAGTCCCTGCTGCTGTGGCCCGGGCCTCTGCACAGGAAGTGAGGGGGGAGAGGGGCAAGCTGACACCTGACATGCGCACTTGCTTGTCAGTTTCCTCGTGCCCAGCACCTGTGTTAACCTAGTAAGATGTCGGGGACGTCGAGAGGGAGGACTGCAGTGGGGGCACGTCACAGTCTGCTAGAGCAGCCCTTCTTGGAAGCTCGTGGGAGATTTCTGTTTTCTTTATATTTATTTCCATTTTGGTGTAATATAAAAGTCAATAAACATTACCTATTTTTTTTTATTTTACATTTATTCACTGAACATCATCTCAATATACAAAATGCAATTTCTCATCTAGAATACATTGTATAGTGGCTTCATCATACATGTTATCATCAACAAATAATTTTCTATTTCTTGTTTTATGTCTTCCCCCTGTTTCTCACCCTCTGCCATTTCCCATCTCTCTCCCACACTGTTTCTGGTATGTGCAGTTGCTTTCTGTTCCTTTTCGTTCCTTCCCCACATTTCGTTGATTCACAAAATATCTTTTTTTTTTTTTTTGAGAGTTTATTTTGCTGTAGGGCACATGCACTCACCAGACAGAGATGGAGAGACAGAAAGTGAGAAATCACCCCCCAGGGGGGATGGCCACACCACAGTCCCTTCTCCTCTATCTCCCCTTGGGATCTTAGGCATGCACGTACACGCCCCTGGCATGAGTTTAAGCCACCTGGTCCGGGACTCCAACCGCGGTTGACTACATGGGAGTCCAGTGACATAGCCATTATGTCAATTGCTGTCCTGATTCACAAAGTATCTCAATTAACTACTTTCAATAGTAAGTTCAGCTGATATATACATACCAGTGAACACATGTTTGACTTTAGGCATGAAACTCTGAGAATAGAATGAATATTCTGTAAAGTAGCACCTAGCTGAGGCAAGCTTACTGTGGTCATTAAATAGGTATTTTAAAATATAGTTTTGTTTTGTTTTTTGTTGAGATATTTTTTCGCTATAGGGTGCGTGCCCTCGCCAGACAGACAGAGAGAGACATAGAGATAGAAAGTGAGAAATCACCCCCCAGGGGGGATGGCCACGCTGCCATCCCTTCTCCTCCATTCTCCTCTCGGGATCTTGGGCACGCACGCACACGTGCCTGGCGTGAGTTTAAGCCACCAGGTCCAAGACTCGAACCACAGTCAACTACATCGGAGTCCAGCGACATAGCCATTACGCTAACTGCTGGTTCCCTTAAAATATAGTTTTAATTTAAATAAAGGCAGTTTTAGCTTTAATAAATGAAATTTAAAAATGTTAAGAGATAGGACCAGCAGTTGGCTAATGGCTATGTCGCTGGACTCCGATGTAGGTGACTGTGGTTCGAGTCTTGGACCTGGTGGCTTAAACTCACGCCAGGCACGTGTGCGTGCGTGCCCAAGATCCCGAGAGGAGACGTATTGTGGCGTGGCCATCCCCCCGGGGGGTGATTTCTTGCTTTCTGTCTCTCTGTCTTTCTGGCAAGCGCACACTATAGCAAAAAAACTCTCAAATAAATAAATAAATAAATAAAAATAAGTTAAGAGAACTTTGCTTAGGATTCAAAGCCAGGAAACAGGATTCTGTTCAACTAGTAGGTACATGGACCTGTCGACAATTCAAGAGAAGACAAAAATTCTTAACTCTTGGAAAACAAAGCATAGAAGAAGATCAGTATTGCTTTAATCACAAAATTCTGTTTCCCCAGTTCAGTTTCAGGTACTTTATCTTCTGTTGTGTTCGATCTTTCTGTTTGAATTCTGGAAGATAACATTCAACTCCAGACTTGTCCCTACCATTAAATATTACCTATTTTGAAAAATTTATTTTTCCTATGAGCAGAGATATGAGGGGGGGAGAGACAGGGACAGAGACAGAACCCCAACAGGGTCTTATCTCTTATTTTTATTGCCATAGAGAGGCAGGCCCGAAACCCTGGAAGGAGGCAGAGGTGGAGGAGAGGGTCTCTCTGTCAAGCCCACACACCCTCTGGCAGAATTAAAAAAAGAAAAGATGCTCACGGGGCCGGCCTCGTGGCCTGTAGTTCACGAGGCCTGCCAGGAGCCAGACCCCGCATGGTTGACAGCGGCTTGAGGGACACGATCGTGTCTGTGCATGTCCGAAATCCTGACAGGATGGCGTGACCAGGCCCCATTTAGGGGGTGCTTTCTCATCTCCCTCTTTTTTTCTGTTTCTCCCTGGCAAGTACATGTGCATTAGGACAAATTGAAAGCCAGAATGTTCACGAAGTCGTTGAGGGTGTGAGAGAGGGGAGATGGCAGCGCCGACAGCAGCATTGCCCTGCGTCTGTCCCTGATAGTCCTGATCTCGTCTCATCAACAGGAGGGCTGGGGGGGTGTTAGAACAACGAGTCAGCACACCCTCCCAGGTCACGTGGGGAGGGCACTCGCTACAGAGCTGGGACCCAAGGCCCCTCCTGAGAGGGTGGGCAGACGGGCGGCCTGGGGTGAGCTGGGAACCTCAGGCAGGCATCTCTTCCTCCTCCAGGACAAAGAGCAACTGGATGACAGAATTTCTTTCTTCAAAACTTTCTTGGAGACCAAAGGGGCAGCCCTGAGCCAGACCACCGAGTTTCTTCCTTTCTATGCCCTTCCCTTCGTGCCCAACCCGATGGTCCACCCCTCGTTTAAAGAGCTCTTCCAGGTAAGTGGCCGCCATGACGCTGTGACTGTCCCAGGCAGCACAGTGGTTCCCCCTTACTGAGCCCACGACAGACACAGTCTCTTACAAACACTCATGTTCTGCTCGTCGGGCAGCCTCTTTTCCAAAAGCCGGGTGACATACTGGGTAGAATGACTGGGAGGAGAGGGAGGTGCAGAGGGCAGAGGCAGTGGGAGGGCAGGAAGGCCGAGGGCCGCGGAGCAGCTTCCAGGGAACGGCAGAGGGATTCTGGTGTTATTGTGGCTTTTTAGCCAAACTTCCAGTGCGGATGGAAGGTATTCTTGGACACAGAGTACTAAGAAAAATTGTTTCCTGTCACAGTGTTTCTTTTACTATTTCTTATTTTTTCTTTTAAAAATCATGATAGAGCATGAGAGAAAGAAAGAGTGCCTTCTACAAGGCTCAGTCATGGCGCAGTCCCCTTCCTCCGGTCCTCCAGCCCACTGGGATCCTGGGCTCATGGACATGTGCTCGGCTTATTTTCAGGCTGACCAGTCCAGACTGAACCACAATTGGCATAATGACTTCCAGCTCCACAGCTTGGTATGCTACCGGCTGTGCCACAGAGGCTGGACTTGTTGCTACTTCGTAAGAGCACTGTCTGAGGGGCCAGCAGGTAGTGTGGTGGTTAAGGCATTAGACTTCCACTCAGCCAATTGTGGTTCAAGTCCTGGACCTGGTGGCTGGCATTCTCACTCCCCCTACCCTTACTCCTCCCTGGTGAGTTAACAAAATAATACTTGGGACAAGCAGGTGGTGTGGTGGTTAAGGCGCTGGACACTCCCACATGGCCGACCGGGGTTCGAGTCCTGGATCTGGTGGCTTGCTTTCTCACTTCCTCTCTCTCTCACTCTCACCCTCTGTCTCTCTCTGGTCAAATTAAAAAATCAATGAATGAATAAATAAAAATAAAATAGTTATAAAAAAAGACCACAATTACGGTAAATAAAGTTAAATAAATATATATATATTTAAAGAGCACTCTGAGAGATTATCTTTTTACCTATTTGTTTGTTTATATATTTTTTGCTATAGAGCATATACGCTCTCTAGAGACAAAGAGAAGGGGTAGGGGAAGTGAGAAATAACCCCCCCAGGGGAGATGGCCACATTGTAATCCCTTCTCCTCCGTTTCCCTCTCAGGGTTTTGGGCACACATGCACATGTGCCAGGCATACTTTTCAAGCTGCTGGGTTCGGAACTCGAACTGCACAGTTGGCTGTGTGGGATCCAGCCACTTTAACCACCATGCCACTGGCTAGCCCAATAATTTTATTTAATTATTGATTTAATTTTATTTATTCATTCATTCATTTATTTTAATTTGACCAGACACACACACATACACACACACACACACACACACAGAGAGAGAGAGAGAGAGAGAGAGATGGAAAATGAGACAGTAAGCCACCAGGTCTGGGACTTGAACCGTGGTTGGCTATGTGGGAGTGGCCAGCACCTTAACCACCACGCCACCTGCTGGTCCCGCTATAATTTATTTATTTATTTTACTTTTTTTTTTAAAGAATTATTTTATTTAACTTCTTATTTCTTTATTTTAATTTGACCGGAGAGGGATCAGAGCAAGAGAGTGAGAGAAAGAAAGTGAGAAAGCAAGCTTCCAGGTCCAGGACTTGAACTGTGGTCAGCTGTGTGGAAGTCCAGTGCCCTTAACCTCCATGCCACCTGCTGGACCCAATGAACATATTGAACTAAAAGTATATCATCATTCTTGACCTCTGTCCTTTTTTCTTACCTGGATGAGGCTGGTGGAAATGTGTCCTTTTCTTAGGGACGCTTTCAGAAACTTGGTGATAGTTGTTTCTGCCGTGCCTGCCAGGGCCACGCCTGCCTACGTGGCCCTGAGCTATTTTTGGTGTTCATCCTAATAAGGTTACTTGTCTTGCTGTGTTTAAATCGCATGAAACATTCAAATCATGCACAGGGTTATTTTTTTCTCTGTTTATGAGAGCTCTGTTCTTTCCTCCTGCTTGACTCTAGAAACAAACTCGCGTCCTCACCCATCTGTCATGGTCTCACGTCGCTGGCAAGAATCTCGCTTTTGGGCTGCAGTACATCTGGCTGTGCTGGTCGCCTAGCGGCCTCAGCTTGATGCTCTGTTGGCATGTAGCGATCTCGTGTGTTTATTTTTGTCTCTTTGCTTTTTATTTCAGGATTCCTGGACTCCAGAGTTAAAGTTGAAGTTGGAAAAGTTTCTAGCTTTAGTTTTTAAAGCTAGTAACACCCCAAAACTCTTAACCATCTATGTATCCTTTTGAAGCATGTGGCTCCCCTCTGGCCTAGAGTGCGCCTTGTTGATCATGGCCTGTGGGTCGCCTCGTCGTGGGATGGTTAAGCGCCTGGCTCTCTTGTTACTGGAGGAGGAGGTGTCGATGGCAGGACAGTGAAAAGCCTGTAAAGGGCCGACTTGGCCATCAGTGAGTGTGAGACTTAACCATGTTACGTGCATAGAAGCTGTCTTGATAGGGAAAAAAGGTATCTTTTTTAGAAAAGAACTCCTTGGAGTAGTTGTCCTTTCTCAGAAGCTCTGTCAGCCACCTTTTTTCCTTTTTAATAATTATTTATTCTATTTAACATTTATTTATTTATTTAATTATTTAATTTGATGAGAGAGAGAGAAAGCCGCCAGGTCTGGGGCTCAAACCGTAGTCGACCATGTGGGTATCTAGCACCTTCAGCCACCATGCCACCTGCCGGCCCAGTCAGCCATTTTTTTCCCCTTATTTTTTTTGTAGGGCATGTGCTCTCACCAGCGAGAGATAAGAAAGTACCCTAAATGGGAGATGGCCATGCTGTAATCCCTTCTTCTCCCTTCTCTTCTCGGGATTTGGGCATGTGCGCTTGTACACGCACACCTGGCGTGCTTTTCAAGTCACCAGGTCCAGCACTCAGACCTCTCAGTAGGCCATATAGATCCAGTCACCTTAATTACACCACTGCCAACAGGCCCAGTCGACCACTTTTAAGGCCTTGAGGCCATGACGTGAATCAAGTGGTCATCTGACTTGTCACTCAAATTAGGACTTACTTTCTTTTTATTTATTTATTTTTGAAGAGGTTTTTGCCTTATGGCATGTGTGCTCACTGAATGGGGGGAAGAGACAATGAGATAGAAACTGAGAAATCACCCCCCCGCCGAGGGGATGGCCACACTACAGTCCTTCCTCCTCCTGGGATCTTGGGCACGGATGCACATGTGCCTGGCATGACTTTGGAGCCACAGAGACCGAACTTGAATTACAGTTGGCCACGTGAGAGTCTAGTGACATAACCACTATGCCATCTGTTGGCCCCAGGACTTATCTTTTAAAATTTCATTGACATATAATTTACATTTCCTAAAATGTACCTATCATAAGTGTGTAATTCAGTGATTTTAAGTAGAGGGACAGAGTTGTGCAGGCATCACCACGGTGCAAGTCAGGTCACTTTTGTAATTCGGTGTGGTGTGGGGTACGTGCACTGGCTGGAGAGAAAGGGAGGGGGAGACAGAGAAAACGAGGAAGCACTCCCCTCAGGGAGAAAGTCAGGAAGAAAGCAAGCAAGCACCCCTCCCAGGGGCTGGCCAGGTCGCAGTCCCTTCTCCGTCTTCCTCTCAGGATTTTGGGCAATCAGGACACTTTGGAGAGAGAAAGGGGCATGAGCTAGACAGGGTGCCAGGGCAACAGGTGTGAACAGGGTCCATCCCAGGACAAGTGGGACAATGGGTCACCCCATCCATGAGAAACTGAATTTCTAAAAGTTAGTCTTTAGGACACGTGCCTCCTTTTATCTGGAGTGAGAATGTGTCTAAAATAATTTTATAATAAGAATATAACATTCTGAATTGTAAAGTTGACGCTTGTTCTGTTTAATTTAGTAAAAAAGAAAAACGTGCTGCTTAATACCTCTGCTTCCTCTCTAGCTCCAAAGCACACGCCTCTCCTTTTCTTACTGGACTCTTGTCCCCAGGATCCTAGGACACGTTTTTCCTGCTTGAGCTCCCTCAGCCCCCAGGGCCACCCCATCACTCATTCTGTAGTCCCTGTGACGGCCCCCAGGTAGACTGTGCAGCCCTCTCTGCTCCTGCGTCCTCGAGGCTTGGCTCACATACCTCCCTGAGCCTACTTACCATGCTCTTTGCATATCCCATCCTATTTCTTTGAGAGCGCTACATACAAAGCAGTTTTCAGTGATACTAGGATTTTGCCAACTTGACTTTAAATAATAATTATTTTAAAATTTGTCAGAGGACAGGCACACTCTCTCTCTCTCGAGAGAGAGAAACAGCAGATAGGGAGAGGGAGAAAGCACTCCCCCAGCGGGGCAGTCATGCTGCAGTCCCTTCTCCATTTCTCCACCCTGTCCAGCTTTTGGGCATGCTTGTACACATGGCTGGTGTGGTTTTTCAAACTACCAGGGCTGGGATTCAGACAGTATGGGTGGCCGTATAGAATCAGGGTCCCTTAACTACTAAGCCACAGGGCCAGTCCTTTAATTTTAATACTTTTTTAAAAAAGTATTTCTCAGTTTAAAGCCTATGGGTGCCAATATGTTAAGAATCTAAATAAGGGAACCAGCAGTTAGCATAATGGCTATGTCGCTGGATTCCCACGTAGTCGACCGCGGTTCGTGTCCCGGACCCGGTGGCTTAAAAAACTCACGCCGGGCGTGTGTGCGTGCGTGCCCAAGATCCCGAGAGGAGAATGGAGGAGAAGGGATTGCGGCGTGACCATCCCCCCTGGGGGGTGATTTCTCGCTTTCTGTCTCTATGTCTCTCTCTGTCTGTCTGGCGAGCGCATGCGCCCTACAGTGAAAATCTCTCCAAAAAAAAAAAAAAAAAAAAAGAATCTAAATAAAAGTTTTGACATAGTAAATTGCATTTCTTATGTTAATTATGTGTTATCATATATACATTTTTAAAGAGATTTTTACTATAGGGCATATATATATGCTCTCTTGAGAGACAGAGAGTTAGAAGGTGAGAAATCACTTCTGGGGGGTTGGCCACTTCATAACCACTTTTTCTCCATTCTCCTCTCGGGATCTTGGGCCTGCACGCTCATGTGCCAGACATGAGTTTTAAGCTGCCAGGTCTGGGACTCAAACCATAGTCGACTCTGTAGGAGTCCAGCGACATAAACATTATGCCGTCTGCTGGTCCCAATAATGTATTAGTATATTAATAATAGTACCTACTTCATAGGAAGCGTGTGAGAATTAAAACATACAACTTGCTTAAAATAGTCCAGCATTTAGTTAGTACTTGATACCTGTTAGCTGTTAGTGTTAGACTTTGCAAGCACTGGGGCCAGTAGGTGGCACGGTGGTTAAGATGCTGGACTCCCACATGGCTGACCGTGATTTGAATCCTGGACTTGGCAGCTCACTTTTTCACTTTCCCCTTCTCTCTCTATTTCTCTCTGGTCGAATTAAAAAATAAATAATAACAAATGAAATAAAAGAAATAATCAGTCTTTTAAAAAAATTTTTGCAAGTACTTGTCACCTTATACCCTAGTCGATGTGCTTGGAAGCCTACATTGAAATATAGCTGGTAACTATAAACATTAGTTTTTCATTTTTCTTGTCACATGGAAATACTTGAAGTTAGGTCAACACATTAAGCTACTGTGAGCTAAATATTGTACTGGGGGCTGATCCAGAAGCCTAGAGGTTAAGGAAGCCTGGTCCTATATGACCAATCATGGTTCGAATCCTGGCCCTGGTGGCTTGTTAAACATGCAAGACACATGTGCGTGCATGCGCAGAAGGCTGACGAGAATGGAGAAATGGAGGAGAAAGGATTACAGCATGACTACACCCCATTGAAAGCTGTTGTCTTTTCCTCTCCTGCCAAGCTTTACACTTTGGGAATTAAGTACTATCCGAGGAATTAAGGATACAAAGAAAGGATGAAGACATAGTTCTCTCATCCAGGTTGGAGTTTTGAACAATAAAATGAGAGCCTACGAGGCAGACGAAGGAATGATAGATAATTCCAGGTAAGGGCAGTAACAGCATGTGCAGAAGTACCGAGACAGCGCGTGGGGAACTGCAGAACGGAGGGCTGGCACAGGACTGACAGAACGCCAGAGGAGACAGGCCAGGTCAGCAAGCTTTGTGTGAAGTCCTGTGAGGAATGAGGAGCCTTTGAAGCATTCTAAGCAGGAGAATAACATGGTCATCTTTATTTTTAAATTATTTATTTATATATTTTTTGAGAGGTTTCTGCTATAGGGCGTGTGCGCTTGCCAGAAAGACAGAGATAGAGAGACAGAAAGTGAGAAATCACCCCCTGGGGGGATGGCCACGCCACAATCCCTTCTCCTCCTTTCTCCTCTTGGGCTCTCGGGTATGCACGCACGCGTGCCCGGCATGAGTTTAAGCCACTGGGTCCAGGACTCGAACTGCGGTCAACTACATGGGAGTCTAGGGACACAGCCATTACTCCAACTGCTGGTCCTGGTCATATTTATTATTATAATCACTATTTTTATTTTCAGTTATGAAATTGATCATGTTCCTCAGGGCCAGCAGGTGGTGTGGTGGTTAAGGTGCTGGACTCTCATATGGCTGACCATAGTTTGAGTCCTGGACCTGTTGGCTTGGTTTCTCACTTTCCCGTTCTCTCTCTGTCTCTCTTTCTGGTCAAGTTAAAATAATAATAATAATAACAACAACAACAAATAAAATTAAACAAATAGTTTTTTTTAAAAAAAGAAATTGATTAGGACCAGCAGTTAGTGTAATGGCTATGTCGCTGGACTCCCACGTAGTTGGCCGTGGTTCGGGTCCCGGATCTGGTGGCTTAAACTCACGCCAGCACGTGTGCGTGCGTGCCCAAGATCCCGAGAGGAGAATGGAGGAGAAGGGATTGCGGCGTGGCCATCCCCTCTGGGGGGGGTGATTTCTCGCTTTCTGTCTCTATGTCTCTCTGTGTCTGTCTGGCGAGCGCACGCGCCCTATAGCAAAAACCTCTCAAGAAAAAAGAAAAAAAAAAGAAATTGATCATATTCCTTATAGAAAATTTGGAAAGCAGAGAAATATATTTATATACACATAAGTATACCCCAAAAGTATATAATGTTAAGAAGCACAGATATGCATATGTGTGTGTATATTTGTAAATGTTTTATCAGATGAAGAGAATATTTCCCCACATCATTAATAGGCCTCAAAAGTGCCATAGTGGTTAAGGTGCTGAACTCCGTACCTAGTGGCTTGAAAGTCACAGCAGGCACATGTGCATGCATACCCAAATCCCCTGGGGAGGGGGCCAGCAAGTGCCATAGTGGTTAAGGTGCTGAACTCCCGTACCTAGTGGCTTGAAAGCCACACCAGGCATATGTGCATGCATACCCAAAATCCCCTGGGGAGGGGGCCAGCAGGTGGTGTGGTGGCAAAGGTGCTGGACATTCCCACATGGCTGACCATGGTTCAATTCCTGGACCTGGTGACTTGCTTTCTCACTTTCCTTCTCTCTGTGTGTCTGTCTTTCTTTGGTCAAATTAAAATAAATGAATGAATAAATAAAATTTTAAAAAATCCTTTAAAAAAAATTCCCTGGGGAGAATAAAGGAGAGGGAATGTGGGTTGGCATCCCCTAGGGAGGGCAATTTCTCACTTTCCCTCTCACTGTCTCTCTGGCAAGTGCACATGCCGTATGGCAAAAACCTTAAAAAAACAAACAAAAAAAAAAAACCCCAAAACCTTCAAAACCAGGTTAAGTTACCTTAGAAGTTTAAAAACAGAGTGACCATATGACCCAGTAATCCTGTCCCTAACTGTGTACCTGGAAGAAATGAACACATATGTCTCTGCAACAGCCTGCACACGATGTAGCAACGGTAGCAACGGTGTTTGCCATGGCCAAAAGCACAGCCAGGCCAAGTGTCTGCCAGCTGGTGGCTAAGCAGCGTGTCGAGAGCTGTGGGTGACTGGCACTCAGCCGTGAAGAGGAGTGAAGTCTGCTTCGAGCCTTGGAAGCCTTTTGCCAAGGGAAAGCTGCCAGGGACAAAGCTGTCTTCCGTGTGGTTCCTTCCATAGGAAATACCCAGAAGAGGCAAGTGTGTAGAGACAGGAAGTAGATTAGTGGTGGCCAGGGACCGGGTAGGACGGAGGAAGTGGGAATGCCTGCCAGTGGGTACAGGGTTTCTTCTGGGGGTGACGAAACGTTCTACAGGTTGATCGTGGTGAGTTACAGAACCGCAAGTACACTGTAGATTGTTGAAATGTACACTTTACAGGCCAGTTATGCATAATGCTATGCAGATAAAACTGCTTTCAGAGAAACTAAATGTTAGTTAACCAGCCCCTGGCATGGTGGTCAAGGCAGCACCACATGGCTGACTACACGGTTTGAGTCCTGGACCTGGTGGCTTGAGAAACATACTGGGTGTGTGTGCCCTAAGTCCTGAGAGGAGAAATGAAGGTATCGTGTGATTTATCCCTCCAGGGGGTGCTTTCTTACTGTCTGTGTTGCTCTGACCAGTGCACATGCCCTCTAGCAGTTTATTTTTTTAAAAAGTAAATTAATAAAAGCAGGTTAAGTAACTTGCCTTCGGCCACGAGCCAGGCAGATGGGAGCTGAGATCTGATCCCTGGCAGTCTGACTCCAGAGGCTTTGGTTTTAACCACTGTGCGATGCTGTTTTCATCCTGATCCCCTAAAGCTTTAGGGTATTTAAAGGGTCTGATTCGCATTTTTAGAATGTTTTGGTGGCAGCAGGAAAGGCCTTTTGAAGAGGATGAGGAGGCCTATTAGGAGGCTGAAATACAGCAAGACCTGGGCTCACACAGTCAAGATGGAGAAGAAATTTCTTGAGCGTGTTGACCTAGTGCCGAGAAGTTGACAACTGCTAGCTCTTCACAGGGATGTTGGGACTGGCTTCCACTGTCCCGAGAATTCTCTTTTTTTTTTTTAACCACACTAAGGTTCTTTCTCGGGTTTGCTGCACAGTATTGGATACTCTCCATATCCTGAGTGCCTATTTTCCTGAATTTCTTTTTCATCCTAGAAAGAGAATGGACAAGGTAACAGAGGTAAGTCATCTAGATTTAAAGAAGGATTTATGCCAGAGGGCACTTAACCGTTAACTGTTTTGAGTCCCCGAGGCAGCGTGTCTGTCCGCAGTCCCTGAGGCAGTGTGTCTGTCCGCAGTCCCTGAGGCAGTGTGTCTGTCCGCAGTCCCCGAGGCCGTGTATCTGTCTGCAGTCCCAGAGGAGTGTGTCTATCGCAGCCCCTGAGGCCATGTATCAGTTTGCATCTCTGAGGCCTGTAGGGCTGGAGAGGAGCAGAGAAGCCCGGGGACATCCTGGATAGAAGCAGCCGCAGCAGCAGTATAGGTAGGCAGTCCCGGGGAAGGGAAGGATTGATTTCCTGTCTGTAACTTTTACCTTGAACTTAATTCCCGGCAGGTGGAATTTTATTACTTAAAATTTTAGTTTCATGAAATTCAAATAGATCTTACCTCAGTTGCAATATGGAGTTCCTGTTCTTTTTTCTTTTTTAGTTTTTTGTCATAGGGTGCATGTGCTCACCGGAAAGGGAAAGTGAGAAACCACCCCCTTAGGGAATGGCCACACCACAATCCCATCTCCATTCTCTTCTCAGGACTTTCAGCATGGATGCACATGCGTCCAGCATGATTTTCAAGCTTCCAGGTTTAGGACCTGAACTGCAGTCGACCATGTGGGATTCCAGCACCTTAACTATCCTGCCATCTGCTGGGCCCCAGAGTTCCTATTCTTAGAAAATATTTAATTTTCTTACATTTAAAGTATAAATTCCAATTTGAAGTTTTTGTATAAAATGGCATTTTCCCATGGTCAATCATTTTTACGAGACCGTTTTTCAGAAGGGTGGGAAGAGCTTTAGTTAATGTGCGTTGGTAACCACAGTTGGAGCAACTGCCCTGAGGTTTGTCTTTGATACCACGAAGCTTGTACCTCGACGTAGGAAGGGTATGTGACGCGCTTTGTGCCTTTAGTAGGTATTGACGTTGTAATCCTCAATTCCCGGCAGGTGGAGTTTTATTACATAAAATTTTAGTTTCATGAAATTTACATTTGCCCTTTCAGTAGAGAGAATTTCAAAGCTCCCTGCCATTATTTGTCTGTTTCTTTTTATGAAGTTTTTAAAGAGAGGAAACATCAGTAAATTACTTGACTCTTTGCTTACCAGGGAGTTGACACGGGAACAGTGCTTCAGATTTGTCACCTGAGAGAGTTGGAAGATGAAGCTTTGAATGTCTGTCTGCCCTTTGGCCTCAGAGATCCCCAGCCCAAGTGCCAGCCTCCCTACCCCCCA